CAAAAATAGCATTACAAACTGCAATTTCAGGATGCAAAAATATATAGATACTTGAAACAAAATAGGACCCCATGTTTGTGCAGGAAGAAGAATTGCAATAGAGCGATTAAATTTTGTCGAGCCATGCATTCCTAGCTATTAAATTTTGTCGAGCCATGCATTCCTAGCTATGGTGGGGTCAACTTCCAAGTTCATTTTTGTAGCTGAAGGAACCTGAATGCTCTCCTAACATATTTGATAACTTTGCCCATATCATAAGCATGTGTTATTCATGCTTGAGTGTTCCACTCAAATGCACAGCTATTGAGGTCTTAAGTGAGTTTGAATTTTAGAGCAAATTTGGCATTCTTGGTCTTCATGCTCACCATTGTCCATCTCAACATGTACTTACTCACATGCACCCCAACAGTCAATTCTATTCATAAACACCATCAAAATCCATTAGCTCACCCACCAAGTTTAGTACAGTCATAACATATTAGAATATAGCTTTAAGATTGTTGGCAAAAGTAGGTAAAAACATACTTTAAGTCGTACTCAATAACATTATCCTTAAAAGCTATTTTATCACACCAAGTTGATTAGCGGCAGCTCCCTAAGATTAAACAAACCCTTCCTATAAAAAGTAAAAACATAAAGAACAAAAATTCCTAGAATATAAATTTAGGTTATCCTAGTACTAATGAAGCAACATGATAGCAGAGAAGAAAAAGCCTATATTCAAAGCTCTTTTAAAACATGTAACAAGCACTACCTTTTATAGTTGATATCTTAAAAATTAGGCAATAAAAACACATTAAATGCATTTAAAAAAATAGTTTCATATAATAATGGGGTTTAATATATATGTTACAACATAAATTGTTTTAAATAGTATTTAATATTATTAAGTTATAGTAATTTATTTTGAAATACTCATAAATATTTTATAATATCCAACACTAACTACCTCCAAAAGTCCGATTAATCTCCATTTAGGATAGGGACGTACCTACTTGTAACATAAGCAGGAGGGAGGGGCAAGTGCTCCCAAAAAAAAAAAAAGGTCCATTTTGCTCAAGTTTATATATGTACAATGTATATAAAACATTCCCAGATTTAACAATATTAGTTATAACGTCTCCATAAAATATACGTATATCTATGTTGTCCCATATTCTAAAATTTCCAGGTCCGTCGCAGAGTTAGGATGTATTTTTATCAAATTCAATAAATTGTTGCTTCATACCTTGGATTGTTGGTGAACTCAAGCGAAAAAACTAACATGGAAAGTGTATTACTATTTAGTAAGTACTAAGTGGACAGGAGAGAAACTCTGCCCAATCTCCGTTGCATACTTGTATCTAGAATTGAGGGCTTTCAAACAGAAATGGAAAATGTTGACGAAAAATCACAAAGCGACTCTATCAAGGGAGAATATCATGATCTAAGCAATTTAATCTATTAAAAGAACTTCTAACAAGTAAGTAGTAATAATTAACGAGTAAAGTTCTTGTATTGACAAATATTCAATCCCTCTAAGTCTTTTCAGATATTAAATTTTTTCATACACATCCTTCATTGATATTGGCCAGATCATCATGTGTAAAGCAATCATGCATGCAAAGGTTCGTTAAAAGCAGCTATTCCGTTCCATCGTTAATTTTTTTTTTTTTTTGGTTTGACCTTTCCATAGTTGACTAAACTGATCACCAGTCACCACGAAGGAACAAATCATAGCATTTATAGAGTTATATAGAATAATGGCTTGTTATGAACGATTATTTTTTCCCGCCTTAGAAGGTTATGCTTCTCTGAGGAATCTCACTTATTATCCCATGAAATAGTTTGCCATATTCACCGTAATTCATTTGTTATCTATCTGATGAAGGACAATTGGACAAAAGCTACTGAAGCGCAGCTTCATTCGTGGGCCTGAACAATGTCCAGTCTTGCTTGCAAGGCGAGACAAGGTTCAAACGTGAAAACAAACAAGACACGAGGTAAGGCGGTTCCTATCTGATAACGTCTCTTGATACATTCATTCCAAGCAGATACATCCCATCTATCTACTTGAAAAAATTTCACGAAAATCCCTAACCATGTGTCAAACGTGAACTGAAAACCACATACACAATGAGTGTATCTGGACAATTGCAATCCTTTCTTGTTGACGACAAACTCCAAAGCCTGTTTGAATTGCTATGAGTTCTGCTTCAATGGCGGAAGTTGGAAGCCCAGGTCCTAGTCACCAGTAGCATGCCTTATGACTCCTCCGCGAGCAGCGTGACCATAAGCATCCACCTCTACACCAAACAGTTACGTTCGCGCTGCTTGAATTAATCTCCCTCACTTCTCTTGGGTAAACATGTGTAAGGTTGTTCAATTTTTTTTTTCTGGTATGGTGTTCTATATTTTTAAGGAAAAATTAATTTACATGTTTTTTTTAATTTTAAATTAGGTTCCTACAATGTATTCTGTGTTAATCAAGTTTTTATAATTTGATCTATTAAATATGTTAATTTTTAAGGGTTAAAATTAATAATGAATTGTTAAATTTTCCAAACAAAACTCCTTTTAGAATTTATAGAAAATTTAATTTACTACTTACAGCCAAAATAAAAGAAGAAGAAGAAGATTTGATTTGATACACTTTAATTTTTTAATGAAAACTCTACAAGTATAAAAAAGATTTAAAATACAATCTAATTATATAAATATTGAGTTATAAAAATTATGAAATTAATTCTAAAACTATATAATCATTTAATGAAAATATAAAAGTTCTTAATTTTATTTTTTAAAAAAAAATTAAGGATTTTAACTTAGATAAGGGACATGAATGTCTAGAAAGTTTTTTAAAAGGAGCATTGAGTATCTTTAATTATTTTCATCAATAAGGCTGATTGTTTGTTTCATTTTATTTGCCACGTGACAGACACTTAGCATTTGAAAAAAAAAAAAAAAACATTGAATATCTTTCCTGTTGTCATTCTCGGAGATGGGAGCTGCTAGCAAAATAGGAAAGGTAATCTCAGTTCTTTTGTTCTAATCATCATTCTAACTAAATAAGTGGGATGATTCAACAACATCCGGAGAAACAATCTATCTACGATTGTCGACAGAATCGAACTCTGTCCCTTCATTTTTTTTCCCCTTAAATGATGTCGCTATCGGACATTGCCATCAACATCTTGGACGGCTCCAAGGTACTTGATCGTGTAAGGAAAGAGAAAGAGCTAGTGTTGAGAACAAGAACCTTGAAGCGAGTCACTCCATTCTTGTCTTTTTTCCCTGCTACTAATCATCCATGTCAATCTTCTTGTGACTTGGGAATATTTTATTTCTTTTGGGTTATTTAATGCTGGAATAATTTGTTCCCCTATATTACATTGATGTGACCTTAGTGGGTTTTTTTCAATAACTTTTTAAATCATTTACCAAAGTATTGTTTCCTCTCTATGTAAGCCTTGGTCGCTGCCATTGAAGGCTGAGAAGATTGAGTTCCAGGACTTGCAGATGGTGGCAAGATAAAAGGATGTGAAGAGATTGAAAAATGTAGACAAGATGGTGAATGGGAAGAGATTGGTGTTGCAGAAGCAAAATAAGGTGGAAGTGCTTGCTCGAGCTGTGCTTTTGTTTCCAAGAACCTTGCTTCTGTTTTTTTAGTAAATAAAAAATAAAAAATGCCAGCTGCTTGCCATGTGGCAAATAAAATGAAGCAAGCAGTCAATCCTAATGGCAAAATTGTACCCTCATTGAAGTTCGGAACGACATTATTTCAATTAAAAAATAAAGGTACCTACTGTTCCGTTTAGAAAACTTATAAGTTTGCCCCTTAACCCTTTTGATTTTCAAGGGTTAAAAAATTTAATTAACCAAAGATTCAATTAAAACAAAATAAATTAAAAAGACTTAATTTAAAATCAAAAAAATTATAAGAAATTGTAGATATATTTTCTCTCTCTCTTTTTTTTTTTTATGTTACATTGTTAGACATTGATTTTACGTTTTTGGGCCCGAGCAAGAAGTTCAGATTTAGGCGCTCCAAGGCGTTCAAAGCTCTGAACTTGCATAATTCCAAAGCTCTCGCCTAAAAGTCATTTACAGTTTTTCCCCTTGGATTTGTTTTTTTATTTTTAAGTTGGGTTAAAAGCATTAAATGCTTATCAGATTTTCAGATATCAACCAAACCATGTGATTAAGATTAAGTATTCAAGATAAAAAAATACGTGATTTTTAATAGTTTAAATTATAAGAAGTTTTATTTTGTAGAGATTTTATGAAAGAAGTGCAACAATAGAAAGTGATTATTATAACGCCACATCTTATCGCCCTTCTCTGGTTGGTAGTTGTAGTTTCTCAAATTGAAGTGAAATCAAATTATCATACCAAAAATGGGGCAAAAAAAAAAAAACGGTTCTTGCAGCAGAAAGATCCTTTCTGTGCCTCTACTTATGGTAATATAAGAAGTCCTATTCACAAAAAAAAAAAAAGAAAAAAGGAATATAAGAACTCCTCTAGCAAACAGTGTGCTTATTGCAAACCCTCCTTCGAAATCAGCCGAGTTTCTCACCTGGTCAGGGATCGGGGAAGGCATGTGCATCTATGCCTAGAGTTTGATCTACCAAGTGCAGACGTCATCTCAATGAAAGTGGCAAAACACATCAGGACTTCAAGAGAGGTCTCCAGAAGCATCCCATGTATAAAGCATTCTCCTTCTTGGTCCGAATGTTCATTCCGAAATATAAATTTGTGCGGTCAGTATATGTACTCATAGTTTTACAAATACAAGTGAGCCTTTTCCTCATACTTCACAAGATAGAGTATACTTGATGATTTGATTCCAAAGGACCAAATCAACAATCAAATAATGACCTTTTTGCAAACCCACACTGGGAAGCGACTTGAACCACATTATCTTAACCTCACTTCAATTCTAATCATTATAGGCTTTTATAACTTATAACCTAAGTTTTCTTACCATGATGCAATGCTGGCAGATGACTTCCAGAAAGGCCTTTAAACGCAATCCATGTATCAAGCATTTTATTTATTGGTCCAGATGTTCATTTCAAAATCTAACTAAAGTCAATATCAATGCTAAATAACTACAAATACAAATAAGCCCTTTCATCATAACTCGAAGTAGACAGAATACTTAATGGCTTGTACTTCAAAGCAGTAATCATATAATTACCTCTTCACTAACCCACCTTTGGAAGTGACTTGAATTGCACTAGGTTAACCTTACTTCCACACAAAGAACAAGAAATCACATCTACCAGTAAATATAGGCATGCATAACCTTTTATCATGATGCCATGCTGGCAGTCGACTTCAATTTCTTAGGTGGCGGGTTTCCTCCAGAGAGAAGCACATACAAATAAAAGCACAGCATTGCAGAACTGAAAACAAAAAAATTTATCAAGCAAATGGGAGTCAAATCAGTGCACGCTAGCAACCAATAGGCGTGATAGACAATTTCAAACCACAAAAATAAAATTAGTAAGGTTCGAAGCCAAGCAGTGCCGTACCTTGTAATAGCAATGAAGCCAGATGGAAATAATTTCTTCGCCTGGATTGAAAATAAGTGAATAGCGTAAAGTGACACAATCCAAGAGATGAAAGCTGTTTTTGTCTAAATAGATAGATGCATTACCAATGAGTAGGCCTGAAAATTTTTCCATATGAGAACCCCTGACAGCACTGCAAAATTCAGCAACAAGAGGTGAGATGAAATTGTAATAAGCTTAATAACCAATCATGTTTTTTTTTTTTTTCTGGTTTACCCCTAGTCAAATGTTGCTTTAAACACATTGACATCATATACCTGCTTGTCCTAGAATAAATGGTAAACTAGATTTTCCTTGCCTCCAGACCTTCAAGCTAAAGGTACTGAGGAACAGTAAAGCCCCTCCAAAGAGTACACCATTGCTCAGGGTTGCAGTACTCCGTGAGGAAAAAAATCCAATAATTCCCCCACCAAGCACAAATCCACCTGCAACAGGAAACAGAGATTAGATAATGCTTCACATCGTTGTTTAATCAAGGCAATATGGTAATATGTTACATGTTCGCATTAATGAAGCCACACTTAGGTGACCCTGACACCAACAAAAATTCAACATCCTGTTCGACAAGAAATTCCATCTTAAATTATCATAGAATATTAAGTGTTAATAAGCCATATTCTTTAAAACAATACCCTGACCCTTTATTAAGGTAAATCAACGCATTGAATCATTCAAATTTCAAAGATTTCTCATTTAACAACCTTAGAACAGAAGGTAAGATCATATTCTTTCCAAAGTGATCTAAGTCAAGCCATTTACTTCAGTTTCCAAGGGTCTTGCAATAATTCCTAAAACATATCTCCTATCAAGCTGAATTTAATATTAAATAGCCAATAATGACAATTGAGAACATTATTTACAGGCGGCTTTAAGTAATTGAGTGACCTGACTTAGTAAAAAAAAGGCAAAAATGAAGGGAAGTGGGAAGCCAAATGCCCAAACAAATACATTAATTCAGAGAGGTGTGCATGGGAAAAAATTTCAATTTGTGCAATTCAGTTCCAATGGAACTAAAGACACACCCAGAACAATTTTTTTTTTTTTTTTGGGTTCATTTGCAATAATAGACAACAAAAAGCATAACTCAAATCAATAAACTATTAATAACCTTTTATCTACCAAGTCACCACCAAAAATGAGTCGTGTGACATGCATTATCTCTAAAATCATTTCAAGTGCAAATAACAACCAAGGAACACTTACCAAAGGGGATGCCTAAACAAAAATCATGAATCTTTGCAGTCTTTTTCTGCAGATTGACACCTTGTTCCTGCTTTGCCTCTCCAAACCCTGTTTTTTCAGCATGCTGGGTTTCTAAAGTCGAGTACGACTCTTGCTTTTCTTCAACTTGCAATTTTGGAACATCAGATGTATATCTAAGTGCATTTTTGGTATCAGAACCAGTAGCATCTGTGCCATGCCCCTCGAGACTCATAACAACTGGTAACTATATCAGATATTAGAATCAGGATCAAATAATTGCTCTAGCAAACTTTCAGTCAACAAAAATATTTCACTTTGCAAGCTTGTTCATGCGAGTTCTATTACTCTGTTTGCAATCTCACAAATAAAACTATGATTTCTGTCTCGTAGTTTCAAAGATACGCCTGTAGGCATGTGTGCTTGTCACTAAATAATTCATACATATCATGTTTACACAAATTTCTAGTATTCTCTTCAGCAATCTCACTAGAGTTACATGTACAAGCAGTGGAGCATGTTTGCTCAGTGCAGCTATGACCAAAAGCATAAAATTAAGAAAACCAATTGCAGGAACAAAACGGTCAATCTCAATAGTTTTTATTTACATTCTTCGACTTCGGAATCATTCACCCGACCCCCTCAATTAAAATTCAACTATTCCAAACTCGCCGACATACAACGAAGTTCAAACTCCTATAAACCTTGAATTATTTTCTATCGTTCCAAAGAAAGAAAACCTCAAGGACGGAATCGAAGAAGAAAACTGAGAACCGAAGCTAAGAAGTGAGATTTACCCTGGAGCGAAACGGTGGACATTGCAGTGAACGTTTTCGCAACTGCAGGCTGCGATCAATGGCGGGGAAGCACGAAAGCTGAGAGATTGTTGCAGCCATCGCGGTGTCGTCAGGATTCAAGATCACAGCCTTCGGTCTTCGTTTGCGGCGATGCTACGGATTTTATTGCCCGGTGACCATTGCAGATCTCCAAATGAAGGAGTCGAAAATTTGAAAAAAAAAAAAAATAATAACAACAAAAAAATCGAAGTGCTTCAGTCCCACGTTGTACGAGTTGAAATCCCATAATTTATGAAATATTTTGTTTTATGACAATGAAATAAATAATAAAACATGTATTTTCATTTTTAAATTTTTATTGCTAGCGCACAAATCTTTTCATTCTTTTATTTTTTAAAAAAATGATAAATAAATCTCTGTTAAATTAGAAAATGACAAATTAATTTCGCAAGATGTGATAATCCCTGTCAAGTACTATGTGACTTATTTTTTAATAAATTTTAAAGTGAAATGGACTTCATAGAAAACAAAAGAAATGCAACAATCCAATGTATGAATTACATGCAGGTTGAATTGCAAGCATTTGTTGATATTAGAGAGAGGCTAGCAAAGATAGCGATGGTGAAGAGGGAGTTATCGTCGACAATGCTGTCAAGAGTGATGGCTGAAAGTTTGCCATCGGTGAAGAAGGACTGTCCTTGTGTTATCTTATTGATTCACCTTAGAGCGATGACTTGAATGTTCACTTGAGGTAGGTAGTTATGGGAGCATTGATGATGAAGGGAGAGGCCAACGTATCCATAAACAAGACACACGCCTCATTGATAATTGGATGCAGTAAATGAAAGGACCAAGGTTGATTATTCATTTCCATGTGATTGGTTTAGCCTTTTTATGTAAAATCTCCCATCATTTCAGTTTTCAGGTTCAGGAGTGTCATCATATTAGAATGATGAAGCTAGTGCTACATGGAATAGGTAGAGGTGGCCTTACATGTAAAATGCTTAAGTAATCACAATTATATTTAACCAGTGAATAAAATGGTTAGAGAAATCACATGCTTTGATTAACAATTTTTTTAAATCAGTCGAATCTTATACTTTGATATTGTTCACAAGTTTAGATCAATCATTTGCAAGTTTTGTTCAACCAATGATTAATATGATTTCAAAAATCATGAATTTTACTATATTTGCAATTTTGTTGAATCAGTTGAGTGCATCACTTTGGTATGGTTGGCAAGCATAGCATAAGTACTTGTAAGTGTGTTTTTGCAAATGAAAAATATAATTTTTTATTCCTATAAATTTATTAAGTTTTATTTTTAGTTTCTATAATTTTTTCTAATATCTTTAGCCCTTATATGGACTAAAAACATTAAAAAATGAAAACTATGTCACCAAATCTTTATGAAATTATGGGGATTAAAAATACTAAAAAGACTACATGAACTAAAAAATAAAACTAAATAAAACTATAGAGACTAATGATTGTACTTTTCCTTTCACAAATGACTAAAATGAGTTAGCAAATTACAATTTTCTCTTAGTAATTTTCTTCAATTGGCAAGATCCAACTAATTTTTTATCGTTTATAAGTTTGTATAAGTATTAGCAAGTGTGGTTTCATCAATAATTAAAATGATATAGGAAAGCCTATTAATAAATTTCTTCAATGAGCAAGGTCCAACTAATTTTATATTGTTCACAAGTTTAATATAAGTATTTATAAGTGTGATTCTATCAATAATTAAAGTTATTTAGAAAATCAAAATTGTCTATTAGCAATTTTTTTCGATAAGCAAAGTTCAACTAATTTTATACCATTCATGACTTTAGTATAAGCACTTACAAGTGTGGTTCCACCAATAACTAAAATAGTTTTAAAAATTATAACTATTTGTCAATAATTTTTTTCAATAAGTAAAGTCAAACTAATTTTATATTGTTCACAAGTTGAGTATAAGTACTTACAAGTATGATTTCATCAATAACTAAAACAATTTAGGAAATTGTAACTTTTTGTCAATAATTTTCCTTGACAAGAGAAGTCCAACTAATTTTATATTATTCACAAATTTGACATGAGTATTTGTAAGTGTGGTTCTGCCAATGACTAAAATGACTTAAGAAATCACAACTTTCTATTATCAATTTTCTTCAATAAACAAAGTTAAACTAATTTTATACTGTTAACAAGTTTAGTATAAATATTTATAAATGTGATTCCACTAATAACTAAAGTGATCTAGGAAATTATAACTTTCTATAAGTAATTTTTTTCAATCAGCTAAGTTTGGATAATTTTGCATTGTTCACATGTTTAGCATGAGTATTTATAAGTGTAGTTCCACCAATGACCAAAACCATTTAAGAAGTCACAGCTGTCTATCAGCAATTTTTTCAATTAATAAAATCAAGCTAATTTTAGATTGATGAAGCTAGTGCTAACTGGGGGGTAGAGGTTGCCTCAAATGTAAAATATTTGTTTAAGTGATCAAAAGCTTTGTTATGAAGGAATATTAAAATAAATAATATACTGAATAAAGGAGCTAGGTTAGAGTTTTATCAGATCTGGGTTTAGAAGAGTCTATCCGACTACCAATACAAGTTTAGATATAATATAGATTATAGTATATAACAGATGCACATAAGAGAAAGAGGAGAGGAAGAAGAGCGAATGAGAGAACTATTTGCTATGAGATAATTTTACCTCCAGCCTCTGATCACTATTTGTAGTGAAGGGAGACCTCCATATAAAAAAGAAGATCCAAATGGCATTAATTTATCTCATAGAGGAAATATATTGATTGAAATAATCATTATTATGTCGAAGGATTATTTCCTTTTCTAATATGTTAAATCAATGACTAAAATGGTTCACGAAATCATAAGTTTTGATCAACATTTTCTTAAATCAGTTGAATCCTGTATTTTGATATTGTTCACAAGTTTAGATTGAGTACTTGTAAGTAATGAATGTGCAAATAGAGTACTCACTGTACCAAATTGGTGAACAGTCTAGGATGAATCATGGAGCAACTAGGAACATATAATACCAAACTCGCAAAACTTAATAATTCATTAAGAATCCAAATTGCTACAAGAGGATAAATCCCTAGTGGGCCTTGCGAAAGTTTTACAACAATGTAAGCTTTTGGAGTTGGGCTCAGGAGGGAAAGATAGTTTTGAATTTGCTTCCGAGCAATAGAAAATTAGTTGGATATCGTTCAACTTGTAAACGATTTTCTTGATATGGTTCATGAGCAAAGATAGGGTAGAAGTAATGATTTTCCTCTTCACTGATGGCGAACATTCAGGCCATCGCTCTTGATAGTGTCGTCATTGACGACTCCTTCACCATTGCCATCTTTGTTGGCCTCTTTGATATCAACGAATACTTGCAATTCAACTTGTGATTAATATCATATTGTTGTCTTTATTTTGTATTTTATAAGGGGCAAAATTGTTATTTCACTTTAAAACTCATTGATAGACAAGTCCCTTTGGACTTGAAAGGGATCATCACATTTTGTGAAACTAAAATATCTTTTTCATATTTTAAAGGGGTTCAACTATCATTTTTCCTAATTTTTATTACTAGTCCAGTCCTGTGTCTTTTCATTAATGTAGAAAATTTCCTAGCGAAAAAAAAACAATAATAATGGTGAAAAATTTAGAAAATATGTTTATGATGCGTATAAATTTATTATATATATTGAATCAAGCTAACCAAAATACACGCACACAAAGCATATGAAATTAGACTCTCTAGCAAAAAATGTTCACAAGGGGAAAAAAGAACTCATCTTTTTCTACGAAAATAACTCAATTCATAGTAGATGTTTGATGCTATTGGTCCCATATGAATCTTGAATTTTACAAGGATGTGTGGTTATTCAAAAAAGAAAAAGAGAAAGAAAAATGTCTAATGGCTTGGAGAAAGATATGCTTCAATTGGCATCAACGACCTTGTTGGCTGTGGAGGAATCATTCATAATGATAAAGAGGTTTAATCTAAATGATTTTCCAATTATTTTAACTAGGAAAAATTATTTTAACATTTATTCTAATTTTATGAAGCCCGATCGTTCGTCAAGCATAATTTTTTTAACAGTCATTTTTGTGAAAATTTTTTATAAATTTTGACACGCCTTAATATATCTTCTCTTCATAAGTTTTTTCGTGATTGCACTAAAAAAATGAAAAATGTTTACAATGATAAATATTTTTTTTTGCCAAAGACAATAATAAATATTGAAACAATACAATTTCCTATTAATTTTATATTTTATAACGTGACATAATTTTTATTTTTGAATTAGATATCAAATGTGTGGAAAGACAAGGCTCAAAATAACAAAAGATGTTACAACGGCTCAAAATTTATAAATAGTGCTGATTTATAATTTATTTTTTGAAAATCGTATATTTTTTATTGATAAAATTCAACGTTTAAAAGAGAATTTAACGTACATTTTGTTTTTTTGGACAACAAAGTATCCGTATACTCATATATTCATGCTTGTGTATAACATTTACTAAAAATCATATTAATAATAATAAGCCATAGACAATTCAACTTATCCCAAATTTTATCCAAAGTTTCAATCCACAATCTAATCTGTTTCAGAACAACACACAAATTAATAAGTAAATTTTCCCACAAAAATTAATAAGTGAATTTGAATTGAATGCAAAGCTGGTAGTAACCTTATTAATTAATATATCAACATTTAACATTATTCAACAAATTTTATTACCCTGAACATCGAGTAAAACTCTAATTAACCGCGCTGTTCTATAAATGGCGGGAACCACATGTGGTTATTATTGAGGATAAATATGCATTTTTATTTTTAAAATATTTTTTAAAAAGCATCCAGCATCCTAATAATTTTTTTATAATAATTTTGTTTTAAAATTATTAAAATGAATTATTTTTGTTTTTTTTATTAAATTTTATAACTGTTAAATGTTTGAGGTCAATATTAAAATTTTTATAAAAAAAATGTCCTATTTTAATAATTTTAAAAATAAAATTATTTTAATAAAAATATTAATATATTGAGTATTTTTTAAAAAATACTTTAATGATAAAAATACACTTTAATTCCGTTATTAATTAACGTTTGATAAAAAATGATTAATTGGTAATATCTTCGTCCATGCCTGTCTCCATGTGTAACTCCGGGGAACCCCGCCAAAGTTGAGGTCTCGTTTCCCTCTTACGACCGGCTCGTTCCTGCTCTGGGACTGCTAAGTCCAGTTCAGTTCATCAGGATAGGGCTTGCCCTACACCACTAAATCTTCCATTCCTCGGTGCTTTTACTGTGTACTAATCGGAGCTCTGTTCATTATAGCTTAACTGGGTAAGCCGTCGGAGCAACGGCGCCACAAGGGCTGCGCCGGAATTTCTGAAAATCAAAATGTCATTCTTGACTCGTCTCAACACTTTGGCAAGACCTCTCTGTTCCTCTCTCTTCTGCATCTCACGCCAGGTTTTTCTCAAAACAGTTTCTTTTTCTACCTCTGTCGCTGATTGACTACTGAGTTTTTAAACTCTTGGAGGTTGCAGCATGCTCTTTGGCTTTCTTTTGGTTTTGGCGCCTTCTCGTGTTTTTTTTTTTTTGTGATTTAGGTGCTGTTCTATCTTCCAACACCCCCCCTTTTGTGTACCAATTTGGCTGTCTCTCAGCTCTAGAGGTTGCGGATGGTTTTCCTCCCCCTCCCCCACCTTGAGGAGCTGAAATTGACATGTCAAAACAAACGTGTGAAATGAAAAACTCGAATAGAGCTTAGCATCTCTAGCAGAGATGTGATATTCATTCTGCAGATAGGTGGCGATTTATGTATCTACTTTTATATCTTTACTTCTTTTTCATTATTTCTATCTCTACATATAGTCACTTTCCTTCATTTTCTTCCTGAAGCTTCTATGGTTTCTTTTTCCCAGTCTTATCTCATCAATTAATTGTCTAGACTCTAGACCAACTGTTTTTTCTCATTCCAAAGAACTTGCTCTATTCACAGTGCATTCCATGTTTTGCATCAGCTAGAAATTTGACCACCTCCGATAGTAGTTTCTATGTTTCTCTACTTTCCCATATTTAATGTTCGGATTTATGACTTTAATTATTTGTTTTGCTACGAGTTTTAAATATTTGGACATCTTATGCTTGAGAATTTACTAAAGAGCAATGTGAGTACGGCCACTAGTAATACACGTTTGGTTTTTTTTATTTTTTATTTTTTGCAGGCGATGGGGATTCAGAATTATTGCGTAAGCTAAATTTTCTTATGATTGTTTATTTGCACAGATTCATTTATTATGTTTTGCTTACATTGGTCACCAATTCAGTTTTGTTTTTAATTATTTTTCTTCATTGATGATGAATTATGGTTTCTCTCAGATTGGAGGTAGAGATGCAATAACTAGGATGGGCATGAAAACCTGCTCTCTTCCTTCTGTAGGTATTAGCTCTCCTTTCCTGCTGTACCTTTATATCTGTGTTGTTTGAATATTAGCAAGAACTCCTACTGCAGCCTCCTTTCCCCCCACTTTTGAGTCTTTGTGTGCGTGCGCACATGTGCCCATTGTTATAGATATGACACACGCAGTTGTTATTTTTGTCTCTTCACTGTATGAGAACACAAAGTTCTTATTGTTTCAAATAATAAATGATATGGCAAAACTATTAGATATATTTGTTTGTTTTAACTGGTAGCTTCATTGTGCCTTTGTCTAACAGAATCATACAAAATCTTTTGATGTTTTTATTATTCAATCGACTTAGACAAATGATTTTCCAATATGTTGTTTTCCTGTTCTCAGTTGAAGAAGCTTCAGATTTAGAATGTGACCAGATCCATGAGGATGTCAAGGCGACAGAGAAAGATTCTGCACTACGCTTGGCTGTTTCACAACTTGCTAATGAGTTTACCAGAGAGTCAATGTTATCTTTGCAAAAGTTTTTTTGTACGCGTCGTGCACCTGTTATTTCTACAGGCTCCCTGAAGCTGGACCTAGCTCTGGGAGTTGGAGGGTTACCAAAGGTGACCATAAAACTAACACAATTATCAATTGGACAAATACATGGTGTATGAATGTGTCACACGCTCATGGCTATTAGAATATGGATCACATGTCTGCAGGATGCTGATGGGGGTGACATAAGTGGCATGGCATAGCGCACATACTTGCTATGCCTTTGAGGTTAAGATGGCCATAAATGCTCTGGCTTTATTGGCCTTCATGGATCTGGAGCAGGCCTTAAAATTCTTTTTAGCTGTAATCTGGCTTTTGAAGTTTAAGAAATTTTATTAAAGGTTGAGTTTGGCTGCCAAAAGAATTACAGATATTTGTATACAGTCAAATTTTGTTGATGTATTTAGATAAGGGATGTTGGAGATTTAAGTTTGGTGTTCTTTGCTGTCATCTCCTCCCCCCCCCCCAAAAAATAAAAAAATAAAAAGAGGAAGCACCCTATTTTCTATCTGAAAATGAGAGAAGTAAAGCTAAGGAAAGATTCCTTTGTTTACACATTAAATGTTTTGTTGTTTCCCACCCTAAATTACTCCCTCATCTTTTTAATAATAGACGTTTAACAATTTTCACACAAATTAAGAAAGTTAGTTGAAATTAGTTACTCTCATCAAATGTATCTATATTTCCAATCATTTTCCAAATACCTTTCGTCAGTTAAGTTAATTAAATTAGTGTAGTCTCTTCTCTCTCTACATAATTAAGGGTACTTATGGAAAGAAAGTAATTAATGCTTCTAGAAATGTGTAAAGTTTCTTATAAAAAGGACTGAGAAAACTTTTTAAAAAGTCTTTTATAAAAAAGGACTGGAGGGAGTATGTGACTTGAACCTGTTACTTTTCAACAATTTTAAGATGTCTGGTTTTGTTGTGCTTGTTTTCTTCCAACTACTATATTTGAATCCATGCAAAGGACTGCCATACTGCAGCCTTGCATGCTGGTTAAATTCATGGGATTTATATATGGATGATCATGCTGATATGTCTGTATCCTGTTGTACATTTTTTTAATCTACTTTGTCAGTTTCTTAATATATCTTATAATAAGATTAATGATTTGAAAATAGGTCTTCCAATAATTAGTAATAGTGTAGCAATTGGCAAGTACAACTTCATGGCTAAGGAAACTATCAATAGTCTGATTTTTTAACAGTCAACTTTCTTCAGATGGTAGAATTTGACTCACTTACCTGGATCTAGCTAACGATGAAATTTCAATCATTGTATGAGTTCCCTTAGCAAAAATCCTTTGGAAAATTTCAGGGTAGAATTGTGGAAATTTATGGGCGAGAAGCAGCTGGCAAGACAACACTTGCACTTCAAGTTATAAAAGAAGCTCAAAAGCTTGGAGGTGCCTCTTGATCATTCTTATCTTCATTTTTGCTAAATCCTTCTGATGTAGATAATTAAGCTGTTAATTCTCTTATTTATTTCCCTGTATCTGTTGCAACTGTGTTGCTCTGCATACGGCATTTTTTTTCATTATTTCATGAACTTCTATTTGTTCTGTTGGCAGGATATTGTGCTTATCTTGACGTAGAAAATGCATTGGACTTTTCACTTGTAGAATCAATTGGTGTAAATACCGAAAACATTCTTGTCTCACATCCTGATTGTGCTGAAAACTTGTTGAGCATGGTGGATACATTAACGAAAAGTGGAGCTGTGGATGTGATTGTGATTGACAGTGTAAGTGACTAATTTACAGTGTTATCATCTGTGTATCATTTGAGGATTTGCAAAAGTGGAGTGGATTCAGATAATGCTGCTTTTACTCAATACCAGGGTGGTTGAGTCTTGAATTCTGAGCCTGCAAAGCGAGGCCTAACAGCCTATGCCATTTTATAAAATGGACAAAGAAACTCTTGCCAGACCTCAATTAATTATTCCATTTGATTAGAAATCCTGATCTTGGTAAAATTTTTCAATCTATGTCCATCTACAGTCTGTTATTCTCTTGCGAGACTTAAAAGCGGCATTTGGCTGTTAAGACAACAGCCTTGTAAAGGTGTGCCGCTGAACTTCATAGTAATGGACTGTCATTCCAAATTTTAATTTTTCCTTCATATCTGTATTTTCTCATTTAATGGGTGATACTGTCCTTCATCCTTACCCAGCTATCCATCACATTCCTTTCGACCATTTTATATTTGGTTTTTTTCTTGGCCCCTTAGGGTCTCGTGTATGAATTTTTTCATCCTCTTGCATCTGAGAATTTGCTTTCCCACTGCTACACATGCAAACCATCTAACATGATAACTTACCTGGTGTCTAGCTACTCATATCTTGACCTAATATGTTTGAATCTGTGTCCTAGTTTATTTTGATCAACACTAGCTTCATTATCACTTCAGATAATTAATTCCTAAGGCTCTACTTTTAAGGCCTCTAAATCTTGCTACCTGAACATGATATCCTGGCTTTTAAAAGCAAATATACTATAGAACTCGGTGTGCATTTTGTGAACACCCCCGCCCCCAAAGGAAAAGAAAAAAAAATGGTACTCATTCTTTTTTGTGAGCAGGACCAGACCCTAGACTCCAGAGTTTTAGAATTTTTTTTTTTATTCTGCATTCAGTTCCATTTGCAACTCAGAAAGGCATACTTTTAACACACTGAATTCAGGAGCTTAATAGATGCTCGATTGAGCATAACAAGTGAATCAGGAAGCTTGAGGACAGTAGATATGGTGTTTGGATCCATGACATTTATTTTTTCACACTTTGCTAAGAAGGTTTTACCATTTCAGGTTGCTGCCCTGGTCCCAAAACGTGAACTTGATCAATTAGGTATTGGCTGTGAACAAGATTCTCTGAAGAAATTACTGACTCAAGCACTACGGAAAATTCATTATTCACTATCTCACTCTCAAACTCTTATCATTTTCATTGATCAGGTCAAAGCCAAATTTTTTGTGCTGCTTGCATCTAGTTGTCTGAATATATGTTAAATTATATCTAGGAAACATTATATGGATTTACGGTTCAGTTCTTTCATAAACAGGTTAGATTAAGACCAAAATCAGGCCAGGCGTGTGGACCTGTTGAAGAGGTTACTTGTGGTGGAAATGCCTTAGGATTCCATGCGGCTGTACGAATGAGACTTTCAAGAATGAGGTTGTTGAAAAGTGAGGACCAGGTAATTTCCATTGGTGTCTTTGATTTTGAAGTGGGATTGAGTAAGACTTACCATTTCTGCTAACTGAATCAGTATTACTGTCCATGGTATTGGTAAAATTTTTGGGAATTCTCTTTCCAAAACTCCTCGTTATCTTGTGCTTTTTCCTGGCTATTTCTAATGGCAGTAAATATTTCTTCTACTCGTCAAGATTCTTGTTTTGATTGTGTTCTTCTTCCTCATGACATCTTCAGGCAGAGGGCCTTGCAATCTGCGTGCAAGTTCTAAAAAATAAGCTGGCACCTGCAATGAAAAAGGTCGAATTGGGGATCAAGTTTGGAAGAGGCTTTTGCCTTGAAGCAGAGGTCTTAGAGTTGGCTTGTGAGTATGGAGCAATTATTAAACAAGGTGACAGCTACCTTATCGAAGGTTTGGCTTTTGATAGTAAACTTGCAGCTCAACGTTATTTGGCTGAAAATGATGAGATTCTTGATAAATTGGTCGTGGACCTGAGGAGAGCTTTGTTTTAAAGATATGATTCACTATCTAACGGATGACCTCTTACAAGCCTGGATATTGCCATGCCCGGTTGCAACTGTTGAGCTTCCCTTCCCGACACTGTCCTTGATGGGCATCCATCATCAAATAGGGGAGCAGAAGGGCATTTCTAATTCATAGGGTGCATTTTGTAGTGATAAGAAATTGAAACTTGTATTGTGCTCACTGATGTTGCGAGCTAACTGATTAAAGAAAAAAGGACACTTGAATTAAATCATGGTCTGGAATCAGTTGCGGATGTACACCTATCAATATTCTCCCTTTCCATTGATTTGAATTAAGATATTCAAAGGAGCCAAGTATTGAGCACGATTGGATATTCGATTCAAGTTACTTCATTACAATCCATAATTTTTTATTTAGAATTAGAGCAGTGCTGAAAACCTTTCAGAGAAACGCAGAAAGCCAAATTAACAATCCAATGATATAAAAGGAGGATAAAATCCAAAAACCAATTTAGATTATGACACATGTACGCAGCAGTAACGTTGCCTGCCCCCAAAACTAGGAAGAATTCTTCGAGAAACCACAATGAGAAGATTCAAGACAGAAAAAAAAAATATTAGCGAATATTTCGTCAGAGTGTGAGCAAATTGAAGGTTCAGCAATGCCTCTTTCAATCTCTAGTATATACCAGTGGCACAACCAAGTGTGAATTAAACCTTGCTGGTGTGCCTCTGCAAACTTCAGGAGATTTCAGCAACACTTGGTTTTCAATATATTCAACACGTTCTAATGATAATGATGGTGATCTGCACTCTGACATCTCTGCCGAAAAAACTCTTTGTCTCCACGGGTGCTGGCAGGCTCACCATAATGACAGGACCAAAAAGATATGCCTTCCTTGTGAGGTTCAATCTGATTGGGGCATAATTCCAGAAATTCTGTTCTCTGCTTTGGTGTGCTTATAGATCTTGATTTTGCCTTTGCTGATTCTGTCACGGCCATGTAAGTGGGAAAAAATGGAGAATTTGGCATGGAACTACCATCTGCAAGTGATGACACTTTCTTTACGTGAGAAAATGATTTTCTTGAGAGTGAAATGTGTGGAATTAATCCTTCCTGTGACTCTTCTCTCTTTGCACTCTTCAGTGCAACTTGTGTTGAACCATGCAAGTCTCTTGTCATCAGGTCTGAGAGAATGTCTGGTTTATGAAACGCATCTCTATTATATGTTTCTTCCTGCAGCCATTGTCCTAGAGTGCGGCAGCTCTCTCTTCCGAATTCCTTACAGGGTCCATATTCTTCTATCATGTGTGAATTTTTTCTCTCCTACAAAGGATAATTAATTACATGGCAATTCTCAGAGATATTCTGAATCATTGTCATGAAAATGAGAGCTCAGAAATAACAAGACTGAGTCATGAATGAGATGAAATCAAATGAGATTACCCTGTGAGAGAAGGAATACTGTTTCATGCGCTCTCTTTTGCTATTGGCCTCTTGTTTTCTCAACCATATGGCTTCTACGTCTTCTTTCGAATGCAAGCTGGAATCCCAAGTCCTTCGAGCATGGCAATCAGGCTGTAATTTCTCCTTTGGATTAGAATAAGGGAATTGTAACATCAATGTACACTTGATTTACGGGTTTGTGGTGTCATAATTATTCAGAAATGTGACCTAGTCCTAGAATGGAGTTCCTGAAGTTTGGGAGCACGGGTTAGGGCATTCTACATTTCTACTAAACATGAAGTTCAATTAGTAAGTTGAGTCCAGTAAGAGGACAGGAAATGTTAGAAATCAGTGGTTTATTTACTTTTTTGCTCCCTAATTATGTTCATCTAACAAGTCATCTGACGTGTTATCTATGATCTGTTTAGTCTATGAATACATAATAGACTAATTCTACTTAAAACTTTTCTCTAACCAGCAAGTGAATGACTGAAGATCATTTTGGGTTGTACTCTTCCCATATTTTTGTTTATCAATACTCTTACCATACTTAATTCCCCATATTTACTGGAAAAAAACATTTTCATATGCTCACCTTAATTTCCCTCTCTTCTAACTTCTTTTTCTGACTTGAAAACTGATTGCTCTTGTCGTTTTTGTAACTTTTATCTGCAGAATGATTGCTTCTTTCATGGATTTCTTCCTGCTCTCTTGCATTGGAAGGCAAATTCTTCAGAGTGCTGAACACTTGACGTCTCACAGCTTGACCACGAACTATAGCTTGAAGTCTCACAACTCCCTTCAATGCTCTCAATGCTTTCCTAGCCTAATTCCCAACTTCAAATTCAAGTTAGTTGTGGTGAAACATAACTTTCTCATTTTCATTTTGAAATCATTGGGATTAACAAAGTTCCGAGGAAACTTACAAGATATCCGCGGTATGCACGTTGAATTTTTGTGGCAGCCAAGTTTCGATCTCCTTTGGATATATAAGAATAGGAATGACCGGTTAGACGGACAACCTCAGCAGCAGCATGAGCAGCAGCAACAGCAGCCTCTGCAGCAGCTGCTGTTGCAATGGCCACAGTCAAAGCATGCTTTCTCTGCTCTTCTCTTGCTTTAGCAAGTGCTCTATTTGGTGCTGTAAGTGTGGGATACTGTTTCAGCTTTAACCTTCCAAGACTCCATCCCCATTTCTTTGGCTTCTGATGAGAACACAGATTAGAAAACACACACACACACACACACACCCACCCCAACCAACCAAATGGGTACTGTTAGATCCATAATTGTAACTGTATAAAAACTAAAAAGGTTCGAAGGCATGTCTACTTTGGCCTTTGACTCAGGAGCGAAGAGCCTTTTCACCCATCCGAACCAGCACTTCCACTTTGCCATGGAAAGTTATGACATCATATAAACCAACTTCCTCTCACACCATTATCTATTCCTTAATCATTTCCTACATTTGATATTGGAGAATCAGCAGGGGCCGGAACCAGAAGAACAATTCAGATGCTGAATAGACAAGATTTTGTAATTGTTAAAGAGGTAATTAAGATGTTTCTATCCTCTTTTTTCTGCTTTAATTGCTCATCTAGATGTTCACCAATTTCTCAAACATAAAGATATCCCACAACATTAAGTGACAAAAAAAAAATCACAACTTCATATTTAGTATCCTGAATGGAAGAAGGATTAAATCAAGCAAACTACACAAATGAAAGCGTAAGTTAATTAATGGTCAGTGTTTCATGAAGCAGCATGGTGATGCTAAACAAGGACCACAATGGATGAAAACATATGAAACCCAGAAATCCTTACTCCTATAATACAGCAAGCCGTCAAATCCATCTATGCTAGATTTTTCCGGTAAATTCCAAATATGTGGAAAACAAGCATTGGCTTCCTATTATTATCTGTGTTTTCACATAGAGGAACATCAAAATGCGAGAATGCAAGAAGCCAAGAACTGCATTGGGAAAGCCAAGCCGATCGATGACTATTCCAAATGATGTGGCCTATGAAGTTAGGCTTAGATGACTGGTGACTTTATAGCAAGTTCATTCAACTTCATGGGGTCCCTTGTCTCTCTCTCTCTCTCTCTCTCTCTCCCCCCCCCTCCCCAACTGTCTGTGTTACAACTTCTTGGGTCCTTTTCAAATGTCTGCCTTCATCAGACTTATTAAAATATACAATTATCCGATTTGAGAATATTCTCTTTTTTTATTGTTCCATACTTCATTATAATAAATTATTTTGTTTGCCAATTCGCATTGAGCTAGCCTCTCACACTATTGAACAATAACCATATGGATTTTACTATTTGAGTTTCTATCTTGAAAAGCCAAAACTTGGTGCTCTTCTGGTCAACTTGCCAAGGAAGCATAGCACTTGTTCTTCTGTACAAATATACATTATCCAATCGAATTGACTAATGAAAGGAATGAATTTCCTCATGTGAAATTAGAGAAATTATAGGTTGTCAAAGTGACCCGTGAAATACAAATAAATTACAGTTTTACCTAAATCATTTCTAAATGCTAAGTCATTATGCTTATAAATATCAGAACTCCTGTGGCATCCATTTAACCTTGAAACTGTAAATTATTAAATTCACCGTTGGAGGGGACCAAGATTAGCATGTTTCATATATTACCTGTATGTGTTCTAACCCTTGCAAATATCAAGAAGAATAATAGGTCTGAAACAGAGCATTGAAATGCCCATAGAGTTAGAAGAGGTTCTTTCTGTATCTATCTCTTTTGATTTTTGGTAGGTTAATCTATATCTGAAATCTGGTCCAGTGTCCCTTCATGTTACTTGATGTGAGCACGTTTCTGACTTCTCCCAAGAGAGAAAACAAGGTCGAGCCTTTCAAGAGTGGTCCATGTCCATGAATATATATATATATATATATGTATATATATGAGCTCGAGCCTTCCTAGCGTGGTCCAACAACAGAACAAGGGTAAGAAAAGTCATGTATCAATGCACAGAATTTTATTAGAATCTTTTTCTTTTGCATGAGTAGCTTAATTAACAAAGGAAGCAGCAAAAAAGATTTGAAAAAAAAAAAAAACCAAAAAGTAGTTCTCGTGTGCTGTCTCAATGACCCATCAAGATATTGATTTTGGGGTTATAATATATAGCCCAAAAAACTTTGCTTTAGACCTACTTAAAATTGCTGAGCTGTCTCAAACATGCATGTTCTTTGACAAAACCAAGCATATGGGAAAAGCACTTTTCCATGACTTTTCTTAATCCAGAAATCCTCATTTCTAGTAACTTCGGTGACTAGGTATCCTATTATTTGGTGATGTTCATTGAACTCTATCTAAATTGTATCTTTGCTACCTAAACATATTAGTCTAACACGCATTTACAATCTTCTTAGATTAATGTTGATTAAATGAAAAACACTTGTTTTGCATGCCTTCTGGTCTCGAGACTGATGTAATAATTAATTGCAGGTCATTAGATTATGGTATAATATAATGACCCTTTGGCATGCAAGAGTATGTACATGGGTCAACCAATGATCACCTTGAGTCAAAAAGAAACTGGAACCTTAAGCACGCATGAATATTAAAACTGAAATCACTGCCATTATAACATACAGCCCTGGCTCGATAAAGTAGATGCGTTGCTTTTTCTTTTTCTTTTTTTCTTCAATTTAATTTGATTTTCTAGCATAAAGCATTTAAATTTAATCTCAGTCATTTTTCTCTAATCAGAATAGTTTTTATGTTAAGCAAATCATAATCACTTAATGGATTGTTTGACATGATGCAAATGAAAACCTGCATTACTGTTAATTAATAATTTAAATTTAATCGTTTGTTATTTTTGCTTTTTCAATGGGAATTGTCTTTCTTCATTTCTAAGAGTCCATTTGATTGAACGTCATTGTAGAGATGAGGTAAAACAATTCCATAATAGAGAAAACTGATTGTGGATTAATTGGTTACGTAAATTTATTTCTAAGGACCAAATTGGAATAATGTCTTTTCAAGGATATCGTTCTTTTTCTCAAGTTTCCTTTCTAAGGAAATGAATTATATTATGACACTCGGCTTTAGGTTTTGTTCAATGTTCATTCTGCTGCCTTTATTAATATTATATCAATGTTAGGCGAAATAAACTACTTTCACAGGAGGCCATCATCATTGGAATTGAGATCAATTTTAATACATAAAACCTATACTTCATTTACAAATAAAGAGTATTACCACTCACCTCAGACTCAGTGCAGTGCAAAGTGAAAGTATCTAATTAAGAATAAATACAGCATAAATTAAGTAATGTTCAAATGGCTTTAAGAAATAGGATATCATAGTTTTCCAGTCCAAACTTTTACTTGTTAGGATTTTTTATTTTTCAAGGAAACCATCAGTGATATGCGTAGCATTAATTAATTTAAATTCAAGTTGAGTTTGACTGATTCAATCAAACGGAGACGAAGCATTCTCAACATGATTTTTTTTTTTAAGTCTTTCATAAAGCTTTTAAATTCAAGACCTTGTTAGAAATGTTGAATTACTCACAACTAAATTGATAAATTTGTTTTATCTTTATTAATTATTAAATCTTATGATTTTCCACTTATTTATTAAAAAAATAAAAAATGATTTTTTTTAAAAAAAATAGCAGAATTACAAAGGCTTGTGGGTTTGGATGCGAAGAAGGTGCATAATATCTATTAGGTCGAAATTAAGACTTGATGGGCAATAATGTTTGTTATAAATTTTATTATATGTATAATATGTATTTGTACTGTCACGCTGCGCTGGAGACTGGAGTGTCCGTTTGGATAATCTAAAGTGTAAATTTTGAATATGTCACCCTCATGAATGTTATCCTGAGAGATTTTATCAATTTTCAAAAGATTCATTTTCTAGTTTCAGACTCTCGTTCGTTCCTAATCCCAAGTCCTAGCAGTGGCTGGGGCCCGTGAAAATAACTAGCAGCATATATTAGGTCAGATTAAGCTTTGGTATAATTAATAATTTGGTGTCCTAGTCTTGTGTGGTGGCATTTATGTTTCCTTTTTGTTGGAGGCAGTGCCAGGCTAAACATCTTGCCCGGCCCGCCCAGTTTGCTCGATCACTCCATTCCTTTCCGTACAAGGTTACAACATTCCAATATGCCAGGCCCATTCAACTCGGTTTTAGACTCCATCATACAATCTTAACTCTACACTTCCAAAAAAAAAAAAAAGTGGCATGATGTAGAACAAATTCTTCAATTAAAAGAAACAAAATAGAATGGAGTAGGTTAATAAAAAATAAAATAATTAAAATTTATTTTTTTCTTGTACTTTTTTTCAAGTAAAGTCCAAAAAACGGACTAAACCCGTTTAAGTCTATTTAATAAGAGGACTAAACTTACATATAAGACCTTAAAATTGCAAAACGAGCTTAAATGAGCAAGTCATAATAAGCTCCATTTTAAGTGGATTTAAATGGACTAGTCCAACCAAGCTGAAAGCTATTGATTTAAGCTCGCATATATTTTTTAATTTTTTTATACAAAAATTCCTAAATTAAACTTTCTAAACTTGTTGAAGTATTTTCAATTTAATAAAAAATTAAAAAATAGGCAAGTAAAAGGGTTTGAAGCTTGTGGGCAAACCCTAAACCTGCTATACTGAGAATTAAGCTTAATATATGAAAATCTTAAAGAGTAAGTGGATTTAAATGAACTGACTTTTTTATATTTAAACCCATCAAGAACCAGCCATTTAGAATAGTTTATTTTTTCAACTCTATTTTTAAAGAATACTATACACTTTATACTGATTAATGAGACATTTTTTCTCTTAAATGATTTTATAGAGAAGCAAAATTTTCCTTCCATGAGTTGGCAGTGAACTCAGACATTGTATGATGATATGGCAGTGAAACGTGACCGTGAACTCACTTCTTTGCTCTTCTTCTTACTCCTTCAGTTCTTCTTCTTCATGTCATTAAGTGAGATTTCCGTCGCAGTACTGAGCTTGCTTTGGCTGTTAAAAGTGTCGTCTTGGTTTTTCTTTACTAGTCGAGGTTGCATTTTTTCGTTTTAGGTCAACGGTGATGATAGGTTTTCGGCGTGGATGGTTGGTGCTCTATTGTCGTAGCTTGCGACAGAAATAGCGATCCCTGAAAATGCAAGTCCAAATAAAATGATTTTCTTCCCGAAATTGCTATTTCCAAATTCAATCTTCCAGAACCCAAGTTTTGCTGCACCTCCTTGATTTTCTACCAAATAATGAGATCGAATGGCTCTGACTCAAACTCGCAGGCTCGCGCTTAGAATTAGGAGATGTAGACAGACTTGACCTTGACCGATTTCCCTTGAGGAAAGATGAGAGACTGCGAACAGTTCTGCCAAGGCTACGACTTTCTCAGACTATAGTGCTTCTTGCTGCTTGGGAAACTATTCTCAAGGCTCCATTTGTATTCAGTCCACTGTCCATTTCCTTGTTCACAACAAGGAAATGACTCTCGCTGTCTCTCCAAGTAACAAGAATGGGTACGGTGACTACCTGATTAGACAGGAGGAGGGTATCAATGACCACAATATTGTCATCAAATGTTCTAATATTCAGAGTGCCATCTCTGAAGGGGAGCTTGTATTTTAGATATGTAGATTTGTCTGAGGTCTGGTTATAGGTTTCTTGAGTCTGAAAACTTCTGAAATGAATTTAGCGAACAACACAAATTTGAATGCTTCATTTTCTCTGAGATTTCTAACGCTAACGTTTAACTAGAGCCCCTTTTCTGATGTTTCAAAAACGTTTAGCTAAGCGAAAAATTTGATCTTATTGGTTGTGTTGTTTGTATCATGAATTAAAAGGAGTTTACAAGGCCCGGTTCATTCTTCTTCATCCCCCCCCCCCCCAACCCCCAATTTTATTCCATTTTTTCTTGCATACCAATTAAGCCACGTTGAAGGGTTAATGGGGGGTCAGATCTATTTGAGGGTC